AATTGAAATTGTAGCTCCTCGTCCAAACTGCTCTCCTCCTTTTTGGGAAGAGTAAGTCACCAAAGATGTGAAGGATACGTAGTCTGTAGTATCAGTTTGTTCCATTTACAGAATTTGGAACTAAAACAATAAGTAGCCTTGTTAGAAGCCACTGTGGAGTTCATTCTCCTTCTGTAAACATTTTCTGAAGTTCTTAACCGAAAGGACACATCTTAACAAGGATGTGGAGGTGTGCCAAGATTGTCTTCTAGAAAGAAGCAAGCCACTCGTAGCGTAGCATGTAAGTCTATACAGGTGATGAGAACTTCCTATTGGAGGTTGATCCTCAGCTGTTTCTGGTCTTCCTGGTTCATCTGGCTGGATTGCTGTTACATTCCTTATTTCGTAATCACTTATTCCTCAGAATGGCTTGACAGATTCTAGGAGATCAGTTGTTCTCTAGTATTGGCTTTTCTCCTGACAAATTCGACTGGCAGGTCTCGAGTCTTGTTTTCTTTGTCATTTGGTACAGACAAGCACTGTTTAAAGCGTTACTTTTTTAATTTGGCACTACAGAGACTTTGAAAACTATGATGATTTTTCTGGATTCTGCTTTCATTGACTTCATATGTACTGGAAACCCAGAAGAAAGCAGGAAAATTTAAAGGGAGTATCAAGCCCTCATAAGGATTGAGAATTTGCAGATATATTCTTACATTTCATTAGCTGCATGTGTGTTTGTTTAACAAAGAGTGGCTTAGAGACTAGATATTCAATCGAGCAGTCTTCTGTTTTGAATGTGGTTATTCTTGCAGCAGTAGGTATGTGGAAACCATACAGACTGAGAGTGGAGCTCATGTAGTTCCTTTGAATGATTCAAGGGTATATAATGAAAAGGATGGGATTAATATAAGAAATAAAATATTATTATGGATTATAAAAAACTGAGAGTGTTCTATGAAGCAGTACAGTTAATTTCTGAGGGAAATATTGTACGTTTATTATATGTTCCATGGAGGAAGCCTGCACCGTCAAAGAGAGACTAGTAGATCGGCATAGGTGAATCTACAGATTCTATATGTCTTTTATATATTTTATCTCTGCCATGTTTCCTAGTTGATACTTCTACAACTACTGAGTGGAAGGTACAATAGTGTTGCTTTTCTGCGCCAGGCCTTTACTTTAAGGCAACTTCAAACAATGAAGTGATTCTTATTGACTCTATTGAGCTATGTAAAATAAAGAACAGCAGCCAGCTTCTCTCACAGCAAAAAATAAGTTGAATGTCTTAAAAAAAGCATAACTATGTGACTGAACTGCCTTACTATTATGTGGACACCATGAAGCTGTTCTCCATACTCAGCCTGCTGCATGGCCACTGACAGAGATGCTGCTGCACATGTTTTGTGTATATTTGTCTTTTTGAGGAACTTTTTACAAGTTATTCTTTTTCTCTTACTAAAAACAGAGGACTAGTGCTTATCATTTAACTGCCACTAGATTTTCATTTGCCCTTTTCATTTGAAAACCCATAGACTTCATCTCTAGCATTCAAAACTGAGAGTTTAGAATCTTGTAAACTATAATGTAAAATTATTTTAGCCAAACAGATGGAGTTTGAGTCATTGGTATATAATACTATTTATCAAAGCAGTCCACAGCAACTGGTGAAAGTTTTAAGGAACATGCTAAATGTGGTTTCAAAAAAGAAGGGATTATATTCTCCTGGAATTAAGCCTTGTAATCTTACCAGTGAGCACAATGCAGAGTCAGTATAACTTAGTTTATTTACAGTTGTATTTGTGGTCTAAATTGGCAGGCAATTAAACTAAAGTTCTGGAAAGTTCTGGCAAATAACACTGTAACAGAGAAAGATGATAGATATGACAAACAGATGTCTAGGCTCTGTGTATGTATGTGTAAGGAATTCATGTTGAAATTTCTACTGGAAATGTTCAATATTAAGTTTGAATTTGAAAGATAAGTACTATTTCAGATTAACAGTTTTGCTAGTTTCAGATATATAAAAAAAAGTGAAGTAAATTTCTAGAATTGTGACCCATGTCTTGCACAGACATCTCCTGATGTTCAATGATGTCATGATATCAAGGCTCTTAAATGAAATAATGTGAAAAGTCTTCATCAAACAACTGTTGACTATAAACAGTCAACAAAAGTAATTAAAAAAATTAATCTTGTTAAATAATCTGCACTGGTCAAATAGCAAATAACAATTCACTGTAGTCTAGACATTCCAGTAATCTCTGAATGGGTTTAATTGCATTAAAATTATTTGCCCATAAGACATACTGTAGATACACTATATGTCAACTGTTCTGCATGGAAACCAGGAAGATGTTTTGCTCGCACACCTTGCAGTTGCCTTTTTGAGGGAGTGATGTCAGCTGCATATCCCTTCAGCTCTGCTCTAATCATGCCTGGCCAGCACAGGAGTGCATGATAGGAGCACCTCTTCGCTCCAGCTATTTCTAACTGCCAGTACAACTTCTTTTGCTTATTTTGAGGAGCAGAGTGATCTATACCTTGTTCTAAATTGTATCAGTGATCAGATAAGAACAGTCTACAACAAGGCACAGAGCTTTGAATCAGAAAAGGTGGCCGCTGGCCATCTTTCTCCAGGTCTATTGTGAGATTCCTCTTCTATGTTAAGGTATAGAGCCAGAATAGTTCGGGGCTCTTGCTTCTGAACTCTAAGTATTTATGTATTGTTGTGTACTTATAGTGAAGCACCAGATGGCAATTACCCATAATAAAGTTTACATTTCTACTTTGTGTAACTTTTATGCCTGTCAAGATTTTGCCTATTGATAGTGTTCTGTACATTAGATATGTTACATACATGCAGTTCAGCCACTCTATAAAGCAGTTAAATATTTGAACTTTATATTAAGAAGTTTTATATCAACTAAATATCATATTATTTCAGCTTTTATGAGATTCCCTTCAGCTTTCAAAGAAAATGTTCTGCATCTTTATTAAAAGACCTGTCCTTTAACAGTCCCAGAGTGGCTGCTTAATCTAGATTTAACTATAGTTTAATTTTATCATCATAGTGTCAACATCAACAAATTATTATAAAATATATCATTTAAGTGACTGTAATCACAGAGTGACTAATGTACCAGCTATGGATGAATACAGAATTGAATGCCAACCAAAGTAAATTTTAAGGTATGTTTGCTTGTGTTTATTGTGGTAAGTAGCTTTATTACAGCATACTGCTCATAATGTTATAATAAATTTTGGGAAGAAAATTAGATACAGAAGCTATATACAAAAGCAAATCAGAATATTGTTGAGCATTATGCCATCAGAGCTCAAATTTTCAAGATTACAGGTCTATTTTCCCATCCAGTCTTTGTTTATTTGTAAAGAAACCTAAATATTTTTTTCCACTTTAGAAAGGAATTTTCACATAGAAAGGAAACTAATGTCTAAGCACTTTCATAGAGGAAACTTTTTTCAGGGCCATTTATTTTAGTGTTCCCTTTGCTTTTATAGCAGATATACTCATTTAACACTCAGTTTCTTCATCTGCTACATTGTGCAGTGAAACCACAGAAAGATAAAAAATTGAACTGTTTAGCAATGCTTTCTTAATTGGCAAATATATGTTCTCAGTAAGATGAAAATAAAAGGGTTTGTGCTTGTGTGGTGATTACACAAGAATAATTCTTCCAGTATGAGAATTTAAGAGCATTGTTCTTGTATGTAGAGTTCTTTTCATTTGAGTTAATCTAGTGTAACTGAGAGAAAGCAGTAATTGGTGATGAACAATGTAATTTGGAGATTGGTTGGTTTAGTCCGTACTATTTTTTAGCTTCATTTTATACACACTGAGTGGACGGAGGAGTACACTTTCAGATATTCTGAGGTGTTCTGTTGGATCATCTGGTCATTCTGGTCTTCAAACAAAAGGCAAAACTCTTCTTTAGAAAATGAACCATAGAATGAGGCTAGTTTACCTTGAAAAGCTAAAGAGAAGAAAACTGAAAAGAAAATGAAAGTAAACTTTAAATTGAAAAGGAAGCTTTCAAAAAAATAGAAAGGAAAGATAAATCAGCTTAGGTGTTGGTTTTTGAAGTGTGGTGGAAAAATTTGAGCTCAGTGTTTGGCTTCGATCTCTTGATTTTTATATACTGATTGGAGCTGGGTCATTTAAATTTAGCCGCTCTTGGGAGGAAGTACCTCATGTTGGTAAATGATCAGTACTCTGCTTGACTAGAAGAATGATTCATGGGTTCTTTTTTAATTCATTCCAATAAAGGAAAAAATTCCTTGTGCTTTCTGAAATGATGGGAAAGTAATGTTAAAATTGCTTAAAAGTGTTTGGGGTTTGGAGGGATTTAAAATCTTGTTTTGAAGCTTTTACTTAAGTCGTCCTTACTATGTGAACATATGTGTGTAATTGTGTAGTTCGTGATCATGCTGTTTTATTTTGTTGTGTTAAGACTTCTGAATTTGTCCTTTGAATGATGATTTTCTTGCAATTGATTTGGAGCTGAGTATGTAAAATAAGCTGTATTAAAATTAGATCTTAAAAAACTTATAGTGTCTCAGCTTAACTGTAGCTTTGTGCAAAAGTATAATTTTGAAAAACATAGTTGTTTAACCTATTTGCATAAAGACATTATGAATAAAATCCTTGGCTATTTTAGACATAGTTCATATCCTTAATTATTTTTTCTGCTTCAAATGATGATAGGATTACATACAAAACTGATTTTATATTTAGTTTTAAAATTTCCTGGCAAACGTATATACGATGAACACAAATGAGGTGTTTTATCTGATGTTTTTAAGCACAATCTATATTTAAATTTCTCTTGTATTTACAATTAAAGATGAGACTAATTTTATACAATTGATTTTTTACTTTTGAGGTTAGACAATGAAGGTGTACTTGCCTTTCTTTATCTTTAGCTCATCTGCTTTGGGTTTAATGTATCTTTTTGAAAAAAGGCATGTTTGTAAAGGCTATTAAGTTTTGTTTGACCTTCCTTTCTATTTAAGGTATTCACTGGACCCTAATGTGAAGTTATGACCCCCAAGCCTGATTGATATGTAAACATAACACAGATGGTGTAGAGATGATTCTGATGCTAATTCATTTTTTAGCTAGTCACGAAGATACTTTGATTACAGTGTGTTTAAGTAATTATAACATAGTGTTCAGTGTTAGTCATGTTGGTAAGGAGCACATGGGAAACAAGTTACATGTTATTCGTGCCCAACAAAGGATGCACTGTGGTGTGACCATTTTCATTTCTAATGCTAGATTAGAAACATAGTATTTTAAAATATGTCATAAAGTAAGGTAAATACATTAAGCATAGACCAAATAAAAAGTTAAGTACATAGTTTTGGGCATAAATATTTGTTTTGGAAAGTATTTGTTACCATATGAAAGAAGCTAGTATGCTTGAATTCAGATTTCTCTTTGCATGCAGATCGTTAAAAAGTCACATGCTTGTTTTCACGTTTAGATGAGTTCTGGTTATAATGTAGTTTACTTTTCTTCTATAAGCATTTTGAATGACAGTGATGAGAAAAAAGTAAAGAACATTAATGAGATTTAGTTAGAAAGCATATTCTGTCTTTACATCATTTGTTCATACTCATCTGCTATAGTAAGCAATGTTTACTGAATATGTTGATGGCGATTAGCTGACAAGAAAATACAAGCACTTACATAAAGCAAAACAATATGTTAAAGAAAATCATACCAATATTTCTTAAGGTGGTGTTCCAGACAAATTGATATAGTTTAACATTGTCTGCTCCATAATTAATTATCTCTTTTTTTGGTCTGTTTCTGCAATAGGGTAATTGACCGTCTAGATGGAGTTCGTTTGTTATGGTCATTGTTGAAAAGTCCTAATCCAGATATTCAAGCAAGTGCTGCTTGGGCTATTTGTCCTTGCATTGAAAATGCTAAGGTAAGAAGGTATTTAAAGTAATAGTTTTGTTATATGTATACTCACATACAATTTTTGTATTTGGATGATTTCCAGCAATACTTTGCTGTTTGCTGCTTACACTCTCTTTATTTCATTCTGTTAATTGCTTAAAAAAAATTTATGTATTCACTTTTCAGAAGTGGATAGTCCTCCATCTAGCACCCATTATGGCATTCTTGTTTGCCTTTACAATGCTTACAGTATTTGGAAAATATATTCTAATAATTTATCAGGACCTAAACTTACTATTCCCAAATAAAGCATGCTGAAAATCTGACAATGCTGGAAACAGAAAGCTTCTACTCAGAAGCTATGAATAGCACAGGTAGTTTTAGTTGTTCTCCACTGTGAGATACTTCAGCTGTGTTCTCAAGAGACCATCATTTGGTTTTCACAGCATATTTCAGACTTGGTGCCAATGTAATCCTTAGATTTTCTGCTCAGACTGCCAACAAAAAATGCCAGTTGTGAACAGTGGTTGTTGTGCAGGTCAGTTGTACACAAATGACCAAGATATTCATTTATTTCATGCCTGTTTGCAAATAGAGATAAAAAGGTGAGTATAACCATAAGTGAATCTTCAGTGAATTCTTACCACTGACTTGTGGTAAAATAAATGTAAAGGTTGTGTTTCCCATTAGAAGTTTCCTAGAATACTAAGTAGATTTTTATCTTTAATCCTTGTACAGTAATATCTTCCTTTTCTAATTTACCTCTATATTTAATGCGACTTTTGCATCTTCTCTCTACTATATCACAAATATATATCCTTCTATATACCATTTGAGATCCTGACTATATAAAGGATGGAAATTCCTTCAAAGTGCTAGATATCCTTAGTATCCTTTGCAGGCAGTGTTTCCTGTTTGAAATTGAGCACTGTATGGTTGCTATTAATTTATATAGATGGATGGATGCAGATACAGATATATGGATGAAAGTATTGTGAGAATATTTGGTCTTGATTTTTATAACCAGCATTTTCTATTTCTTCACAATGATTTCTGCAATGACAACTTGCTTGCCATTTTTCAGGCATGCTGGCTATTTTCAATTATATTTCCATCTTTTTTTTTAAGAGTACACTCTAGTATAATAGTTTTTTGTTACCTAATGGTGGGGTGTATATATGTCTCCTCAGTCAAGATATGACTATACCTGCCTCTCTCTTGAACAATATTGCTATAACTGAATGTTAAAATATTAATTTGTCTCAGCACTGAGGTAATATTTATCATGTGCAAGACTCTGCGACCTGTAGTGCCAGAGTAGAACTGCACATTGCTAGAACTTCCACTAAAAGCACTTTTTCAGAAACGAAGGGGATGGAAGACAGCTACTGAAATTATAGACTACATGGATTTTTTTCTTGTTTTTTGTCCCCAGGGTATTTGATGAGTGTAAGCTATGTACATCCTTAGTGTAGCTATCGTCCTTTCATCTCTCTTGGCTGCCTGCCCAAATGCTAATCTATGACCCCACAAAGAGTTCTTTCTGTGAGACTGAGGCAGAGTGGCACACTGAAACAAACCTAGCAATAGTACCCTTTCCTCTGACACTGAGTGGAAAGAAATATGTATAAAGCAGTGATTATAGCCACACTGTGGAAGTGCAGTAACTATTTCTATCTATCTAAACCAATTTTTCATTTTTTTATTTGAAGTTAATAATATTCAACAATTTACGTGAACTTCCAAGAAGCATAGTTTGGTTTATGCCGTGCTTGATTCAAAAGCAGTAATAAGTATATGACTTTAAAAGGATTATGTGCATTCTTGCTTTTCCAATGACTGCAAACCATGTTTCAAGTAGCTATGAGCATGGAATCTGGATTTGTTTTCTTTTTGTGTTCCTTTGTGGAAGCTGTAGTGGTTCTCTTTTGTGGTGTGGAGGCTCATAGATGAAATAGAACGTGTTAATAGTATAAGAAATAAATTTTTATAACAATGTAGTACAGCATCCATTTTTCTGCATAGACATTTTCTGTATATCCAACTTAAAGGTTATTTTCTATGATATTTATAAGATCTTAGAAGCTAATCATACTGATAGGATTGTTATTGTCATAGTTTGTGACTACATGATTATCTCTCATGCCTTTACCATCACCATAATCTGTTTAAGATTGGAAAATCTACCCTTTCTGTTTTACCATTAGGGAGATAAGTCACAAAAGGCCAAGACTTGAATTCTGAGGATGTTTAGGTACTAGCCAGTTTTGAGCTTTTGGGTTTAACTAGTTTGCCTGTTCTTAGACAGGAAGTTAATTGCAAAGAGCAGAATCCAAGTTCCCATAACCCTAGATTATATATGTTGACAGTTACATTATGGTAGCTGGTAGCTGGTTCAGAGTAATTACCATAGAATAGAATCGGATCAGTATGATATAGCTAAGTGATATTGTTTGTTACAGCAATATAATATAGGTCAGTGATATTTGGTCCATGACAGATCTAAGACTTTTTTAATAGAGGGTATAAATTGTACACTGTGGTACATAAACTGTTACAGCCCTGGCAGCCATAATATTGGTTTGGTACCAGACATCACTTCTGTATGCCAGCATTAGTTCTAAATATTTTTAGCCTGAAGAATTTTTTGTAGAGTGAAAATCTTATAGGGAGGCTGGCAGTGATATAATTTGGGTGGTAGAACTCCCCTGAGAAAATTTGCACAGCCCCTGTGAGTGCTACTTGTGAGTCTTAGACAAATATGTCATGATTTGGGGTAAATTAGTTCATACATTTCTTTAAATACAGGACTTAAAGAGACAAGAATGTGATTTAATCAAAGGCATTATCTTAATAGAAGCAGATTCTTATCAATTAGTTCCCTACATCCAAAAGGAAAAGTTACTACTGCAGGCACGTTGGTAATGACAAATTGTAAGTGCACTGTCCAAGAAACACAAATGATTATGAAAAATAGCTAAGAAAAGTCTACTCAACACTGTTGATGTTGGAATGACAATATTTGTTTATGATGCTTCTTTGAAAAACAGTATTTATTATAATGTTCTCCCAATGTACATCAGCCCAAACAGAAAAATTTAGAGAACCTCTACAAAGATGTTATTTAGGCTATTATAAAATTCATCCAAAGGCATTGTGCCAATAAGAGGAATGCTGCCAGCTTGAGTTTGTATGAAAATACCTATTTCCTCACAGAGTAAACTTTAACTAGAATGTCTTGAAGTAAATAATAAAAGGAAAAAAAAAGAAAGAAAAGAAGAAGTTGTAGAGGTTATTTCCCTCCTCATATTTAGTAGAGTTTTGGGTGCAAACATTAGAATAGGAATGGTAATGTCAGGCATCATCTTTTTCTCTGTCCTTTGTCTGTGCCTGTGTATCAGCTTTCAACTTTGAAAGTGTCAGTTTTAGCCTTTGTTATAGCTGCAACTGTAAAGGCTTTCTTAAAGAACTTCAGGAAGCCAGGTACGTATAAAGTGTGTCAAAATAATTTAAATAAATAGCCTGAGACAGGATTTGAGAGAAGAGAGAGAGAAAGTTATACTGTTTTCTTAAAATGTACTTGTAAAGTGACATCTCCCAGTTTTCTGATAAAGCATGGGGTTTTTTGCCCTGAGTTATTGCATCCCCTTCAGCTCTGCAGTGGAATTTCACGGGTGTGATGAAGGATGATCTAAAGACATCTAAAGTTGTCTGTGTATTTCCTACATACAGGGAAAAAGAATGTCCATGCTGACACACACACACAAAAAAAAAACCCGACAAAAAATAAAATCGAAACTAAACAAAATTTAAGAGAGAAGGATCATGAGATGGGTATGCGTGAAAGTCAGGTAACCTTCACTCTTGCAAAAGTATTATATACTGAGAAAGTGACTGGTAATGGAGCCAGCAGCCTGGAGTTAACCTGTGGGTGGAAAATATGCTGCTGCTGACCCATGCTGTTTAGAATTCTTACATAGATTTTGCTTGTTACGGAAATTTTAATGTAACCATATGTATAAAACCACCGAGAACATTTCCTTACTAAAAGTAACAAAGAAATGTAGTTGAACTTGGAAATTCTTCTGATATTTAACAAATAGTAAAATTATTTGCTGTTTTAAATAAATTAAGATACTTTGTTTACACGTTTCACTAATTTAAAACTGTAATGTATAAAAGTCAGTCATGCCCCATAATGCACACTGTTCATTTGTTTTATATTTTTAAAATTTTACTTAAGTAGTACCAATACATTTTTGTTTACGTACCATTCTTTCGTTAAGCCTATAATGTCAAAATTCCCTACTTGAGTATGTACAGCATTTTCCAATTTCTTTGTTTTCCTTGCTATGCTTCTTGCAATTCTATACAGAAACCTTGGCAGTTCAAACTTAGTGCTCTTACTGCTCTCTTTCCATTTTCCTATTTGTTTTCTCTAGACATTATCATTTTTTACATCAATCATACCTAATTCTCTATATTTGATCTCATCCTGATATCTGGATGTAGAGTTTCCAAATTTGTAAGTTTTTGTTATGAACTAAACTTCAAAAGAGTACTATGAGAGAGACAAAAAGAAATTTTTGGCTTGCCCCTCAGACCTTCAAGAGCACCAGAGTCCTTGGAGATTTAGGAAGCCCAGGAAGCCAGACCTGACTTGATGAATCCATAGTTGTCTGCCATGCTTGCCAGGGCACATGCAGAACCAGCCTATCCAATGATTCTTGACACAGGCTGCCTAGAACTTTAGTGAACCAACTATCAGGAGTTGTTTGGGTCTCCTATAGACATGTTACCCTGGAGGTCCTGAATGGACTGATGTAAATTGCCCTGAGGTCCTTAATGTCTACAAATACAGGAGCCCAGTTCCTGTAAAACACATAATGTGAAAACTGGGAGGCAAAGGGAAACTAAGAGCGTAACCCACGTCTCCCTCATTGGGGAGCCTCAGGTCCTAAGTTCCATGCAAAGCAACTGCCTGAGAGCTTGAGACCATAAGAAGCAAAAAAGCTTAGGAGCTCCTAG